GCAGAATGAATGATATCACACTGCCTTCACAGAGTGACTTCCCTCCTAGACATTCTGGTGGTCACAGGAGACCCTGTATACTTGCAAAGAAGGTTGGTAATTTTAGGGCTGAGCAAATCAGAGTGGCAAATGTTGAACAGAAAACTAGCTTCAGTCTTCCCAAACTAGGTGATGAAAAACAGAGGTATCTAAAATAAACAGACAGTTTTCAAAGAGCAAGCTTTTGTTTATTTGCTGAATTGTCCATTCTGGAACTCTGTGTCCTGGATTTAAGTGGATAATATTATTTCATATTCTTATAGAGAGAAGGAGGATTCTTTCCAGCAGTTTTTTAACAAACCATGGATTACTGTCTCATCTGACACTTCATATAATTTAGTTTCCTTTAATTTCTAGTCATAATTTAACAAGTATCGTATCACAGGCTGTCCTATCTTCTACAGAAAAAGTTTTTTAGGGCAATTCTTAATATGTTCATTTAAGTCGTGATGTAAAATGAGATAACATCACATCTCGGACAAAGGTATCTGAGCCTGTGAGGTGATTACAGCGGTAGCAGTGCCCTGTGCCATGGAGGTGGGTTGCTGCCTTTCCCTGTGATGTGATAGCTGAACTTTCTATCAGCTGTCGCATTCTGGGAAAAAGCCATGGTAGCATGTTTAAGGAGAACTACTCAGCAAACTAAATTTGAGATCCTTGACTGCAGCAGGATTTCTTGAAGAATTTGTGTCTGCCACTATCCTTCCCTCCTGATAAGGTCTTAGTGCTAGATCTAGGATGCTGCTTGCATTGACTGATTGTCTCACTTCTGCATAACTTCCCTAAGGAGAGATTGGTATTGCTCACAGTCTTCTTTTGGTTTACTGCTTTTGAAGGAATGCATTGAGTCTATCTAAATTAGAAGGACCCAGTGCAGTTGTGCTAGCGAGGTAGGTGACTGCAGAACACCCTGCTCATGGGGATGACTCTGTTAAACAGTGCAGAGATTACGGGTTTCAGGGACAGGTTTCCTCATTCCCTCTTCTTGGTGGTGCTGAACAGTAGGACAACATCCTCATAGGCAAACTTAAGAAGTGTGGGCTGGATGAGTGGACAGCGAGGTAGATTGAGAACTGGATGAATGGCAGACCCCAGAGAGTTGTAATTACTGGCACAGAGTCTAGTTGGAGGCCTGTCAATAGAGGTGTCCCCCAAGGTTGTGTACTGGGCATAGTATTGTTTAGCTTTTCCATCAATGACTTGGACCAAGGGGTGGATGCCTCCTCAGCTGATGATAAAACTGGGAGGAGTGGCTGATGCCCCAGAGTGCTGTGCAGCCCTTGAGAAGGACCTTGACAAGCTGGAGAGATGGACAGAGAAGAACCATCTGATATTCAACAAAGGCAAGTGCAAGGTCCTGCACCTAGAGAAGAATACCCCAGGCACCAGTACTGGCTGGGGGCCAACCTACAGGGGGCAGCTCTACAGAGCTGGGGTTCCTGGTGGACAACAAGCTGTCCATGAACCAGCAGTGTGCCCCTGTGGCGAAGAAGGCCAATGGTATCCTGGGGTGCATTAGGAAGAGCAGTGCCAGCAGGTTGAGGGAGAAGATCCTGCCCCTCTACTCAGCCCTGGGAAGGCCATATCTGGAGTGCTGTGTCCAGTTCTGAGCTCCTCAGTACAGGAGGGACATGGAGCTCCTGCAATGAATCCAATGGAGGGCTACATATGTGATTAAG